AAAATTATTTTAATATATTTTCAATTGAAAAAATATTTTAAAAAAGCAATATATAATACATTACAAAAAACACTTTTAATAGCAATAGAGGAAATGGACAAGCTACATATATGTGATCAATGTATCGATCAAGCTTCAATTTGGTCCCTTTCCTCCTACCCACTCCATTATAATTATGAAACCATGTTTATTATTCCAGTCTCAACACCCTGCAAGAAAAAAAGGTTGTCTTCCACGTGTTAAATTGCATGTGACTGTCACATAAATACTTGTAGCTTTCTTGTTTCCATCAATTGGCTTCACTTCTCCTACTAAATAACATAGCAATCTCATATTGATATGTGATTTATCATATTTTTCTATATTTTCTTGTGTAATAACATGATCATATGTTTTTCGATTATGGACCAGGTAAACTTCTATAAATGTCGTCAAAAGATTATCTATAATACTAATATAACCTTTCGTCATTTTCCATGACCAACCATCAATTCATTCTTACCTTTCGTTCCATCTCCTATATTTTCTTAATTATTCTATATTGTATCATTAAATGTCCGAAATTGAATTATTAAATAGAGAGAAATTAAAAATATGAAGATTGCATACTATTTACTCTGTGAAATTAATCATCTTGAGGAGAGATATTGGAGCAATTTTGTAAGGTAAAGGGTAAAACTGGTGCTATTAAGAAGTTAAGGGACCAGATCAAAACCTTATTATAAAAAAAATACGTTGAGTCCCATATTTATAATTTGCCCTAAACTGCTCCAACCCGTCTTTGCAAAAGCGTGATCACACGCTCCAACTAATCCACAAATTTACTCGTCCGTGCCTGCTTCTGTTAGAAAAGTCAAAGCCAAACCAAAGGCTAAAAGGGAGGGGGCAAAAAAAAGCCGCTGACAGCGCGTGGTAATTCACGTGTGAGATACAATGACATTGAGGGGCCCGCGGAAAGATGCTGATGGATTGATTTAATTCGTGCAATGTACGGATGAGGAGAATGAGAGGCGCGCGTGGGATTTGTTTGAAACTTTTAGAACGATAAATTCTCTAGTAACTGCTCCCTCGGTGTCTGGAAACTTCTTTCTTTGTCATGGCGGACCACTTTCTCTTATGCGTTTAAGTTGTCGTGGAGTCCCGTTGCCGTTACGTAAAGCTTAGTTTACTCCTTTTTCATATATATATATATAAATATTTAATATCCAGAATATACTTAGACTTCGCTGCCTGTTTCGCTGCGTATCATATAAAAAATATATAATTGCTTTAAGAAAATATAAACAATGCTATTTTTGTTTTTATGTGATGAAATATTTTAAAAAATAATTAAAAATTCAATTAGTTTATAGAATAATTTAATTATCCACCATAAATGTTAATAGATGAAAAACAATTGGTGTGACTTGTTTAATTAAGTGGTCAAACAATAGACTATCTCCCTAGCTCAAATAATAATAATGTTAAAAAAAAATATTTATCATTATAGTATTATCTAACTCTAACTTAAAAGTAAAAAACAAATAATTGCTAGAGAAAATAAAAACTAAGGGAGTGAAATAAAAAAATAGAAACAAACTATATCAATCCAGATTAGCATTTAAAATTTACAATCTAAATAATAAATATAACTATAATAAATTAACCTAAATAAATAATTTTTTTTTTTTATTTATTCTCTTATTCTCTTATGGTTAGACCTTCACTAGGTCTTAATTAACCATAAATCAAATTGAATCTATAAACAAATAAAAAAATTATAAAAAAATTTAAGTTAAAACTTTAAAAATATATTATGCTATATTGATTCTAGTCAGTTTTAATCAATAAACAAAATTTAGAACCCATGTCAAAATATAATTCCAATCACGCATAATTTTTTCAAGTTAGGTGATAAAAAAATAATGAAATTATTTATTTATTTATTTGAAGTTAAATAAAAAATCAATGATAATAAAGGGCTAAAATACATATTTTTAAAAACATTTAATGGTAAAATGCATTAAAAAAAAAGCTCTGCATATTGCATCATAGCCCGTTAAATCAAGAATTCAGTTGAGTCTAATAATGCTTTTTTAATAAATTTATGTTGCACATAAATAAAGACTAAAAAATCCAAAGGAAAAAAAACAAAAAACCAAGATATATACGTCTAATGACCCAACGTGTCTAGGCATATGAAAAAAAAAGCAAGTGACCTTTCATCCAAATCCTTTATTAAAAAAAATAAATAAATTAGGTGACATGTCTCATGCTACAAAAAAAAAGGCAAGCGACCTTTCATCCAAATCTTTTATTAAAAAAATTAAATAAATTAGGTGACATGTCTCATGCTAAAGCAAACAACGTGTCGCCCATCTATCCAAAATCTAGCCACCATAATGATACCTGAAAAATTAAGATAGAAATATTTTTACCCAAAGATCTTTTTTTTCAACTCATTTTAACCAAACAATATTTTAAAAACACCTTCACAAACACCTAGAAATCAATTTATCAACCTAAACAACTTAAAAAACAACCCTAAAATATGAAATCAAACCGAGTTATAGTTTTCTTCATCAACATTGATCTACCTTTTCAGGTAGTATTAAGATTTGAAATAATAATCATTCGACTCCTTTCATTAAATGGAACCCGTGGACACTAATATTAACTAATTTGATAGTTGGAATATGCAAAAACAATAACTTTCTCTTTGTATGCCAGATTTTCTCTTTGTATGCCAGAATCCACTGAAAAGTCTTCTTTAAAAAAAAAAATCAGGGACTTTAAAACAATATAAATGAAGTTATGTACCAAGAATGAATTTAGAAAAAGCATAAGGAACCAAAAAGGTCTACTTTTAAAAATTAAGGAGTAAAAAATACGCTAACTTTAAAAATTGACACTTTTTCTAAGAGGGTCTCTTGTCTTTCAGTTTTGTCCCTAGCTAATAAAATAAATGCAGTTGGGTGTTATCTTTACAGCTAAATAACACAACCAGGAAAAAAAATTAAGGGATCAAAATGAAAAAATCAAAATTACATTACTCTAGTTCACAATGCTTTATGGTTGTTTGAATAATGGTTGACATTGTTCAAAACACTCATGCATTTTAATATATTTAGTTATTTATTAGACACGATTAGGTAATTGACTTGAGAAAAAAAAGTATATGGGATCACTCAAATTAATATTTTTTTATTAAAATAATATTTTTTTTATTTTTTTAATATTAATTCAGCTGAGTTAGGACTAAGTTTAACCAGTTCAACCAAACCACTAAAAGCTTAATCACATTAATTAGGTTCTAATAATCTAATGCTTGCGTTTCATCATGGGACTATATTATTTTTCCAGTAAAACATTTAAGCATCACAAATATATTTTTAAAAAATAAAAGAAATCCAATAACTCAAATCATATTCTTGACCAATTAAATAAGTTGGTTTTATTTGAATTATGTGAGAAACAGAAGAGGCAAAAATAGCAAACTTGAAAACATATATAAAAAAAAATTAATCAAATAGAATTAAAAAAATACGCTATAAAATTGAATTGAATAATAAAATTAAAAATAATAAGATTTTTATAAAATAGTTAAGGGAAAGGAATAAAACATTATAAAAATAAGAATCAAGTTAAAAACACCAATACATGATAAAAAAAACCTTGAATATGTAGAATTTTTCAACATGGTTTTTTACATAAAAATTATAAATGTAAATAAAAAAAACTTATGTTCATATCCAATCAAATAAATCACGAACCATTATGTAAATAAATGGGAAGATAGTAATTGAAAAAATTTAAATACCAATATAGATTAAGATATTCAACATTGCAATATAAATTATTTATCTAGTTATATTTAATGAATTTATTTATAAAAAATAATTTGTAATACAAATGAAACCCATATAAAATGTATTAAATAAAATAAAAGAAAAAACATTATACAAAGCTGCACATATTAAAAATATTATAAAAAATAAATATTTAATTTATATAAATATATATAAAAAAATACAAGTGAATCATACTAACTTATAAAAAAATAAACACACCCAACAATCACTTTTTTTTATCATTTTGGTTTTTTTATTTTTCAATTCAATCCTCGCCCAGATAAGTATGGAATTTAAGTCAAATTAAGCGTAGTTGTAAAAAAAAAAAGTCCAAGGCCAAATTAAAATTTTTGAAAAACTTCACCAGTCCACAATAAATTTTAAATGATACAGAGTCTTAAGCACATTATGCAACCTGGGTCATCTTATTAGTCTCTTTGTCAGCGAATCCCAACTGACCATTCTGCAAGGAAAGCACGCTGATACAGAATCGGAAACAAATCCCTAGTCAGCATCCCTTGTCTCCATGCTTGTTAAACCTAACCCAGACTCACGGATTCATCTGGAAAACTTGTTATGTATTTAGTTGAATTATAAAAAATATTGAAATGATAAGATTTAATTAATTTGATTTAAGCCCAACACGGTCAACATAATATTACAAAACCATTTTAATAAAAAAAATTGACCTTAGATCAATGACTCGTTGAGTTTTCTCAGTTCATTTATTATCACTATATTTTTTATTTATATTATTAAATTAATTGAATTTATTAAATTCAGTAAGTTTTATTTTTATTTTTTCATTTAAAAAACGCTTACACACCCGTGGTGTAGCGGATTTGATGCATATATGTCATTGAAGTTGATGACTCATAGGCGGGCAATAAGCACCGCTTGATCACACCACTATAGAACCGAATTCCGAGACACCGCTATGGACCGAATTCCGAGATACACACAGAGATTCGGAGACGTAGACATGTGCGCTAAAAGCTTTATGCTCTGAAATATCATAGATTAAGTAATGCATTTTATTTATTTTTTTGACATATTTAATAAATATATGAAAATAATGATATTTCTTATATGATAATGGTTATTTTTAATATATTAAAATAATATTTTTTATTTTAAAATTTTAATTTTAACATTAATATACTAAAATAATTTAAAAACATAAAAAAATTAATTTTTTTAATTAAAAAAACGCCAAATACAAGCGGAAATCAACCAGAAAAAGAAAGACAATAGACTAGATTGCAACTTCTAAAAGCCCCAAAACAACAAAGTGTTATGGTGTTGATCGTTGACACCAAAGGGCAGAGACTCACTGCTTGCTTTACCCAAATCACTCAATGTTGATCACAAAAGCATCATCAATCTCCTCGGGCTTGATTTTAGGCACAAAAACCCTAAGAACACCAGACTCCATCACAGCTCTAATGTCCTCGGCCTTGTACTCATTCTTTGGAAGGTCAATCTCGAAAGAATACTTCCTGGGTTCCTCTTCTTTTGAATAAAGACTCACCTTCTTGACCTCTTGACCCCTAACATATAAAGAATCATCTTTGACCCACATCTTTAACCCTTCTTTGCTAACCCCAGGTAAGTCCACTCTTGCATATATGGCATCAAACTCGTCTTTCAGATCATACAGCAACTCTGGCCCTTCTTTGACAAAAGGGTGGGGGCGGCCATAAATCTCAGCATCAGCATCCTCATCTGAAGGGTATTTATGAGACTGTTTTTTATATACTCACAAGAATCAGTCAAAACGATGAAAATATTGTAAAAAAGAAATATTAGTTACCTGTAGAGTAGAAATCAGTGGTGGAGTCTGTATCAGGTTCGGTTGTAGAGGGGAAGCGGGTGGAGGAGAAGAGAAGGAGTTTGAAAAGTTGGGATTTCGAGGATATAACTCTGGTTAAAGACAACATGGGTGAAGAAGCCATTGATCGGAGATGAAAGGGAGGTTTATAAGAGCTGCTAGGGCTTTTGTTTGGATGTGAGGTTTTCGGTGGGTTAATCGGAAGCAATGCTCGCAACTGGGAGCAGGGACAAGTCAAGGTGGGAAGAAAGGTATTAAGGTGTGGGTGTAGTCAGGTGGACACATGATAAGGTGTGAGCATATCTTTCATTAGCTCTCCACCACTTGATGGAGTCCTCCTATTGATTGATAGAGACAGATTGTTGGTTCTGCTAAGATCGAGAGATCTAGAAAACAATAGGCTTCGTTCGTTAAAGCGCGGCGCCCCTAGTTAACAAACGCCCACGCGTGTAACTGTAATATACTGGATTTATTCGAGAATGTGATACGGACTGTTTTTTAAATTGTTTTATATTGAAAAATATATTAAAATAATTTTTATTTTTATTTTTTTAAATTTATTTCTAATGTCATCTTAAAATAATCAAATGATATAAAAAAATTAAAAAATTAAAGCGCGATTAAATCGCATTGCAAACATGACCGTTATAGCATGGCATCTTGCCATTATTGTTATAGAAAATTATTATAACAAAATATAAAAGGCACGTGGGATTTATTTTGCAAATCACATTGTGTATTCTCTATTCATGTGTATTAGTTATTTACAATGTTTTTTATTCCAACGCTTTTTTTAAAAAAAAAATTGCCCTTTTTAGACTAAATAGAATGTCAGTTCAAATAAAATCATCAAGGCAGTATAAGATCAAAAAACAAATGGAAAAGGTGAAAAAATAAATAAATGGAGGATTTGAAGTTTGCGGAAAAAATAAATTGGTTCTTTTACTTTTTTAATGATGCATTTTTTATTCATGTAAATTTTAAACATTCGTTTTTGATAAAAAAAAATTTATTTTTTTTACTTTTTACTCCTTGTTTTAAGGGAAAAAGAGAAGAAGTTGCTAGATTATAGTTTAGGAGAGCTAAAATCATAATTTTTAATGATTCACTTTGCATGAGATAGCATATATAAACTCATGATTGTTTATTTATCTATTATGGGTTGTTTTTTGATTATTTTATGAATTTTTGGATTTGTTTGATATCACGTACAAGTTTATAAAGGTGTTTATAATATTTTACAAGTGTTGCCACGTAGAAAACACCACAAACCTTATTTTGGTGCTAAATTCTAGAAAAAGACAGATAATATATTGTATGTTTTTATTTTATTTTAAAAAAATAAAATGGTTGACAAGTCGTGTATCCCATAAAAAACAAACATAAAAAACAAATTGACTTGAGCCCACCCACCTAGACTTTTGTTTTTAGACCTATATATGTTGGGTCGACTAAACTCATATGTCTAGGTTGTTTTTATCTTTTTTATGTTTATTTCATTTGTTTTTTTTTTAATTTGATTCTTCATGGTTTGATCTTTATTGTTTTTTTTTTTAAATTTATCATTCAATGTTTTGTTAATTTTTAAAAAAAATTTATCATTCAATGTTTTGTTAATTTTTAATTAAGCAATGTTTTTTGATACTTTAGATCTATCGTGATCTCAAATAAACACTTCAATACTTGGTTGGTTTTTAATTTTACTAGTTTTTTTAATATATAGTTTAAAAATTATTAAAAGATTTGTTGACCTCGATTGTATGTATAACTTGAATTGCAAGTTTAGCTAGTTAATTTTGGTCGGTTAAATATTGACTTTTATAATTTATTTTGATTACATAAATAATTTTTAATTTATTTAATTAAATACATGCATAACCTTAAATTGATAATTATTGTATTTTTATATTAAAAAACACAAATAAAATGCTATCATATTCTTTTTTGGGTGTTGGAATAAAAAATTACTCGACAAGCAAAGAAGCATAAGTCAAATAACTAGTATAAAAATACTAAAAAATATAGTATTTTTATTATTGTAATCCATAATATTATTTTTTATTTTTCATGACCTGGTCATAAAAACTTTGTTTCTATTGAATTCTATCATTTTATACCCAAATTCTTAACTATTTTATATCAAAAATAAAGTTATGGAGGAATAAAATTGAAGTAAAACATGAAAAAAAATGATACATTTAAAACTGGGGCAAAAAGTTCACTATAATCCTCTCACATTCTAAATATTATAGCAATCAATAATGATATTTTTTTATAATTTATCCCTTCAACATTGTTTCTATTTAATTGCATCATTTTATGCCCAAATTCATGGTTAATTTATTAAAAATGGTTGAATAGAAACAAAATTAAAAAGTATATGATTAAATTGTTAAACAAGAAGAAAACTGGTGTCAATTTAAAAAGGGAGCAAAAGGTTCACCCAATCCCTTTTACATTTTAAATTATAACCTTTTGATCCCTTCATATTTCACAAATTCAAGAATGATTTAAAACTATATTTTTCTTATTTCTCCATTCATAGTTCGAGAGAGAGGGAAGAAAATAATTAGATTCTAATTGCAAAGAGAATTTTGGTTGATATTGATTTTATATATAAAAATTTGATTTTGATGTAAACAAATTTGATAAAAAAAAGTTTTAACTATTTGTTTTTTTATCGTTTTCATTGCCCTAAATAAAAGATCTAACCTCAATAAGTTTTTGAATTTTGAATTTATTCTAATTAATTTTGCAGTTTTATGGATTGTTTAAGGTTATATATGAGTTTTTTTTATTTTTTATTTATTTAAAATCAAGTTTTTCAAAAAAAAAACAAATTAATGTTCAAATTTCTAGATGCTTTTTGGTTCCCTGAAACTAGGTCAGCACATAACACATAGCCTATTTATATATTATTTTTAAGAAAATAAAAGGAAGATGAACCTCTTAAAACATATTAATAAAAATTATAATATAGTTTTGGGCTAAAAGATCTACATGTCGAGGCTTTGCTTTTTAAAACCCATCCATGTTGGGTCTACCTGAGGTTATTACTTTTTTTGTATATTTATTTATTTTTTGTTTTTTAATTAGATTTCATTGAATATTTTTGTTGGTTTTTTTCCAACTTTAACAAATCTCTATGATCTTTTTATATAATTTACTTTTACTTTGTTTATGAATAAATCTGTTTGTGACCCATATTTCAAGATAAAAATATTCACATCAATATTTATTTTTTAATTTAATCTTTGATTTAATATTGTTTAAATTTTAATTTATTTTTATATAAAATAATTATATTTTTTTTTCTAATATTTTCAATCTCACATAATTTTTATTTATTTTTTTAATATTTTCAATCTCACATAATTTTTATTTTATTTTATTCATTAATTTTCATGTGTTTTTTATCATATAATTACATAAAAATTTAATTATAATAAACAAAGTTATTAAACATGATTATATATATATAACTTGTATTGTTAAATTAATTATTTTAATTTATATTTATTTCATTATTTTTTTAATTTAATATTTTATTATTCTTAACAATTTTAATTTTATTTATTGATATATATAATTTTTTATCTATTTAATTAAATACACTTACAAGTTTTTTAATTTACAATTAAATTGTTTTTATATAAAAAAACATGATAGAAAGAGCGTGCATATTATTTTTTGTGTTAAGAAAAGGAAAATCCTGCCCGCAGCCTCCTTTCTTTCCTTTTGGTTAGAAAAGAGAGAGAGAGATAAGACCCAAAACAAAGGGAACAACGAAGGGTTGGCTCATCTCTCTCTAAATTCTAACAATGAAACCCTTTGCTTGTTAACACACGCCTCTATCCTCTCTTTGATTTCTCCCTTCCCTTCCTCTCTCTCTACTCACAGGGAAGCAGAAGAAGAAGCGTGGAAAAAGAGGCTTTTTTTAGAGAGAGAAAAACAGAGAAAGTGGTGATATTTTATTATCATGGACTCAACAACACAACAAGCAGTGGCGGCCATTAATGAGAAGGAGTCAATGGTGGATCCTTTCTTAGTTGAGGCTCTACAGAACCCGCGTCACCGTCTCACTAGTTAGTGCTTGCATTTTTTTGCACTTTTTTTCGATTTTTGGATTTGTTTTTTTTAAGGATATTTGCTGTTTTGTTCAAGATTTTAGTTTTTAGGTTATTTGGACGTGTTTGGCTATATGGGTTTCTGATTTTTTTTTGTTTTATTGATTTTGTGGATTTGTTTGGGGATTTTGTGTTTGTATGAATCTTTTAGGGTTTTGTGATTTGTGTTTTGATTTTGGAATTGGGTTTTCGTTGATTTGGAAATTGATTTATCTAGGAATTTAAGACATATTAGATCTAGGTTTTGATTTATGTGAATTATAGGTTCGTATGGTTGCTAAGGAAAGAACAATGTAACGGGAGGAGCAGATTTTGTACCTTTAGTTTAACTTTGTCATCCACAAACTAATTGCCTCCAAGTCACGGTTAGGAAAATAACGGGAAAATTGGACTCAATTGTCTAATTTCCTTTCCTTGAGTGCTGTTGCGGGAAATTGATTGGTTCTGAATGTAGCTTAGATCTGATGCTGACTTCTTTAATAGACTTCTAATTAGCCACAATAGGCTCGTTATTTTTTATGAACCAGGTGCTAACTTGAGTGTCTCAATGCCCCTAATAACACCTTTTCACTCCCTTGGGGCAAGGAGGAAATAGTTTGCTGCTGATTACGGAGTCTTCCAAATTTATGTGTGATTTAATTGTCATTGGAGTGCAAACTAATTCTGTTGTATGGATTGTTACTTGGATTTCTATTGACTGCACACCTTCGTGTGTGTACATGTTAAGGTAGTTACTGCTTGGTGAGAGAATTATAGCTCTTAAGGTTCCTTTTCTAATCTGGTTACTTCTGAAGTTGCATGGGGGAATGGTAGTGTGTATCCTTACCAGAGGTTTTTTATTTTGCTGGGAAAGAGAAAATGAGGCGGTATGCTATTGCATCCCCAAGGACATTGGTACAATATTTATATAACAGATGCAAAGTCTTATGTGAAACATAGAGATGAGTATGTTGTTTTCCAGGTACTGTAATTTCCATTAACTAAATGCTCATATTTCTAATACATGGCATGAGATGTTGTATTTCAGCAAACACACCCGTTGTTGTATTGATTAGGATTCAATCTTTCTCGCCTCTTACTTTCTGAAAGCTCGTATGCCTTTCATGTTTAACAAATCAGGTACTGTTGAGAATGTCATTAGTAGTTTGGCAAGGAGAGAGTATTTTATATCTATTGGAAGAAAGACCATGGAAAGTGAAAACCTTACAGTTTTTATGGTTTAGGATTAGAGACTGTTTGGTATTGTGGTAGCTTCTGTTTTTTGCCAAACCACGCTGAAAAAAATTTTTAGTTAGCCAAATAGCACTGAGCCCCACACATAATTGTGTTTCAAACCTTGGTTTTGTAGAAGCTAAAATAACCTGCTTTCATTCATGGAGACATGCTTTTCATTTATTTTGCAATCAAAGATCTATCTTTCAACAGTTTTAACCAAACATATTTTCTTAAATCTACTTTTTTAAAAATGCAACTTAAAAGTATTTTTCTTAAACCTATTTTTTTAAACTACAAATGCAAAAGCTACCAGAATGCCGAATACACACTAAGTAAAAGTCAAAGTTGCTTCTGCGTGAATACAGTTTTGGTCTTGGACAGGGTGGAACTAGAAATTTAGTGGGATGCCAGTGTAGAATAGTCCCAAGGTACATTTGAAACCGTAATAACCTAAATCGTGATTTTTTTCAAAATTGTTAGCAATATTTTGTTTGGGTGGGGTGGGGGTTGTTGCATGGCCTCCTCAAGCCTCAATGTAGTTCCACTGCTTGTTTTGGGTGACACTGGCGAAACAGAGAAACTGTTATAGAATGAAGAGCTTCCCTATATTTCAAGGGTCCACCCTCACCCTATTTGGGTGGTAGGCACCTGTTGCACGAAGAAGGTGCTCCAGGATCCTACTCTGGAGGGAAAAAAAGAAAGGCATAAGTCTAGAGAATATCACTGCAAAAGTAACCAAGACAGTTAAAACAGGGTTTTGAACAAGATAGTTTCATGATCAAGACCTTTTTATACATAGACAAAGACATGTTTGTTGAGTGCAACCCTTTCAAATCAAGACACTGACATGACTATTGCAGTGATGTATTGGCATGGAAACCTAAAATTTTAGATGATGTTGTATTATTTTTGAATTTGAAAGTTCTAGCCATCAAAACTGATTGTGGTCTTATTTCTTGGGGCCTTCATGGTAGTTAGGTTTGGCTTTTTAGTATTTTGTAGTTATTTTCTTTTTCTTCTGATGAAAATTATTATACAATTAGCATTAACTTGCTACGGCTGCATTGACCTTTTGGTTTTGTTGGCTTTGTGTTATGGTGTCTTTGCTTTTCTTTCTTTTTTCTTTTTTTTTCTGGACCACTAAGATTTATTTTGTTTCTCAATTTGCTGGATCAGTTTTGCGGATGGAACTTGATATCCAGAGGTTTTTGCAAAACCCCGATCAACAACTATTTGAATTCCAGCATTTCCCTACCTCCTACCTTAGGCTTGCAGCACATCGTGTCGCTCATCACTATGGGCTGATAACCATGGGACAGGATAATGGCATTGATGGTCTGGCAAATAAGATTCTGGTGCAGAAAACAGCTCAAAGCAGATATCCTGCAGTTTGCCTAACTGAAATTCCTGCAAAACAGTTGGAAAGTGATAAACCTGAGAAGATAAAGCTTGCCATTAGACCCAGGCCCAACAAAGGGTCTATAAATGATCCAAATGGGTTTGGGGTCAAACGGAGTCCTGTGAGAAGTGTGGAAGAGAGGAAGGAGGACTATGATAGGGCACGAGCTCGTATCTTCAGCAGCCCCAGCAGCCCCACTGCAGAAGATACTGTGCCTGAGCTCCCTACAGATAGCAAAAATTTAAGTTCAAGCAAGGATGAGAACGAAGAGAGTAGGAACTCTGTTGTTGATCCAGAAAAAAATGTCTTTATCAGGGACAGCATGTCATCCCGTGTTGCCATTTTCAGAGACAGGGAGAAGGATCGCACTGACCCAGATTATGATCGGAGTTATGATAGGTAAGGAATATTCATGATATTTGGAGGTTGACAGATATGAAAGATTGGTTACTTCATTTCATGGATTTTTGTTGATAATTCTTTCATGGGATGAACATATTGCCAAAATATGGTGTTGAATATCAACTTGTTGATGAGCCTTGTTTATTCTAAAGGGTTGTTCTATGATGGGTTGCTAACTTGTTATGATTCAAGGCCACAATGCATTCTTGGTTGTTTCCCTACTTGCCTTCTAGAAATCTTGTTCATAACAAATTGAACAATCACATGTTGGAGAACAAGATTTCCTCCAAAATGAGTACCCAAAACATAAAAAACAGTCTTATCCCTGCATAGCATGATTAGATAGAGACTGATTCTCAAGATTTGATATTCTCAATTTTTTAGAAACAGTTAAATCTCTTGTTACCCTAATTTTCATCTTCTATGTTATAGAAGATTGCTTTTTTATTGAACAAACTAAATTGCTTTTGAATGATGCAGGTATGTTAGGAGCCTTCCAGCTAATCAGAGTTTTAGCTTGACACCATTCAATATGCAGAAGATTCCACATCCTTTTATGCAGTATGATGCTGGTTTTCCTCAGATGGGTCAGATGCCAAGGACACAGACTTCCCTTGGCTACCAGCCTGCTGCAGGCCCAGTTATGAGCCCCTTCTGTGCATTGGGATCAAATCAGACATCAAGGGATGCCGCCTATGTACAATGGCCAAGTGCTGCAATGATGTATGCACATTCATATGAGCAATTTAGACATGCTGCTTTCCAGGTGGGGCTATAGTTTATTATTTACAATCTTGAATTTGAACATGTCTTGCTAGAATTTCCTTTATTTGTTTGTGCTTTTTCCCCCCCCTTTGAGGTGGGGCAGGGGTAGAACCTCAAATTTGACCATCTTTACTTGATCAAAAAAGGGAAGAAAAAGAAAGACTTATCTTCAAGCATTTGCGTAGTCTTTTGTGGCAAGTGACCCCATAAATTGCTTCCTTCGGCTGAAATATTTGGCTCTTTCTTGATGTCGGCTCTTTGAAACAGTGTGATTCTTGTTTTGTGAACCAGCTTCATTTGCGTGCTTACTTTTCTTAATTTTCACATCTAAAATACTCTTTTCTTTTTGCAGGCTCCATTCTGTCAGCAACCTCTTAGCTTTGATTACTCTCAAAACCATTAATGCTAGACAGATGGGAGTTGTGTCACTGGTGTACTCTCAGATTCTCTATACTAGATAACTCACTGTTAGGATTTTTCGAAGACTTTCTGCTATAAACCTCCTTTTTTATTCCAGTCTTAGTTCATTTCTGCTTCTGTGGATCTTAATGCTAGTAAGGAGTGTAATGATGAGACTATTTTATATGCGCAAACTCACCTTTCCAGGTATCATACCTAAAAGCAGCAATATGCTCAGATCTAACAATAAGTGGTTAGGCTATTAAGCACTAGCAATGACCCAATAAGGTGATTTGCTTATGTCTAAAGTAACGGCTAACAGCCTTGTAATGGAATCCAAATATCCAATACGTTGACTAGAGAAATAAAGGTAAAACAGAATCGTATGGGGATATATGTATAAAAATGGGCTGGAGACACAATGGCCAGCTCCGATCTCATCATGCTTCAATCACTACCAATCAAATACTTGCTAACCATCTTAAACAATTCCCTTATGTTGTCTTTGTAGATAATGCATTGATAGTTACTTTAATCTAAAGTCTTGAACTCTGAACTGTCAGTATTGGTGTTCTCTTGCTGCCTACAATATATAAGAATTAGTGTTTTGTGATCTGTAGCTGCAATCAGATCAGATTTTCCTAATAGTTTTGTTAAAAAAGTTGGTGGGGCTATCTAAACTTGCCTTTCATTTGCCAATAATCCAAAATCAAAGTGAAATACCTAATTACTACTCAAATATTTTATTAGCCACTAGATCAAATACTTTAGACAGCCATGCAACTAGACTTTTAAGAGTATAATAAAAGAAAATAGGTTTAAGTTGCAGGTCACGCTTGTTTTTCTTCTCAACCTGCTTTTTGTCAAAAAACAGGCTGAGATAAATGCAAAATCATTATGAAATAATTCTAAGCTCGAGGACTTTAAATAATTTAATTTTTTTGAGGTTGCCCGAGCTAAAAGTGCCAAAGTGATGAAAATGAAAGGGTTCTAGATTGCAATTTTTTTATTCATAAAAAAACAATGACTAGGAAAAAGGGCGCTAGGCAAGGCAAGACCGATCTAAAATGTACTGAGAATGGGGCAGAGCATGTCTTTGGCATACTTATGATCAGGACTCGATACCCAATAATGCCTTGTGACAGTTTTCTGATAAGATCTAATAATCTTGTGGGATCCAGGTTGCTGTTTACCCGCCCCAGTAGCAGTAGTAGTAGAAAACATGCATATAAGCTTTGGTTTTTTTGGAGCATAGCTGTCGAAACCAGCTCTAGTTCTAACTGCATGCATGGAAGATTTGGGTTATTGAGTTAATATGAATTTATTATTTTTTTCTAAAACAACGTTTTAGTTATATTTTTATTTTTTTTTGCATTTTGAACAAGTTGAGCCATGTCAAATCAGTTACGAGGCAACTCTTATAAGGTTATTTGAGTTTCTCAAGGTCAGTATCCAAACCATTTAAACTAAAACTAAGTTTAAATCATGAATTTATTAAATCAATCCACCAAACTGGGTCAGATTGGGAGTCACAGATGAAATTAAAAGTTGATTTGGTGGGACACATCTCCAATGCACCAAGTAAATGTACAAGAAAAAAGTTTTTCTTTCTTTTATTTCCTATCATAATCATTTTATTTTTTTAAATTTTGAGTAAGCTTATATGGGACAAAAGGCCTAAATCTTAAGGAGAAAAAAAGAGTCGTATGATTTGAGCAGTATAATTCTCTACTGTTATGAAGCTATCATGTTACTCGCAAAGCTCAATGAGCTTCTTATCCTCAAGAAGAGCAGAGCTGATCCCAATACTAAAAAATACATTCATAACCTAATGTGCTGACTTTACCCTTAATTAAAACCTTCACACCTTAATTAATCCTGTAATTAGAGCAAAAACCAAATAAAACTATGATTAAGGAGTGACATACCTAGGTCATTTAAAAGGCTAGTATACGCATGACCTCTTACCAGCTTTGTTCATGTGCTCTTGTTTTTATGAGCTCCCATAATTCTTTAGGGTTTCCTTTTCTTATAAAATGCTTGCGCTGAACCTCAACGTGCCACATAAAAAATTGTGGTAACTAAGAGCATGCTTAGTTGCACATCGAAACATTGAATGCAGCAGTAGTATAAAAAGGGAGACCACACTGGCTAAGATTAAAGAATTCAACAATGGTATGGAAAATGCATCTTTAATTCGTGCTATCAGTTCACATTCTCAGCAATAGAAAAATATCCATTGTGTTTCCCAACACGAATAAGATTCCTTGGCATCTGTTTCAAGGAATATGGGAGGAAACAGGTGGTGCCTGGAATGACACGGTTAAGTGAGCTGCACAGGCCTAGCTAGACATGCTAGTACATGCACTAAAAAAGTGGAGAAATGAACTGGCAACTTGGATGAAATGATATACGACTGGAAGTAAAGAAGAATAGCGGAGTTGGGATAAACAATATAGATAATATCCTCCAACAGATCAATCAGCAGCCGAAGAGCTAAATAAGGGATCCCGGTCTTGGATCTCTTAATGTGCTGTTTAAGTTGAACATGACAATCTAAGTGAAAGGAGAACCAATTTGATAAAACAAAGCAGGTTACAGTATCGGATAAAAGAGAAATATCATTCAAATACCTTTGAAAACCTGATGGGCTATTTCTGTAAAAGATCATGACAATGATAAAGGAACATAGAAGTATGTGTGAATGTGTGGGCAGGAAGAGGAAAACAGAAATGTTAACATTCACTTCAATCGAAACCCTTCTTTCCATTCCAAGTATCGACACCATTCCCAATCAACTAGCAAGTAAGCTTTAGACAATATGATGCAAAGTTTCCTGTAAAGTTGACTTACTGATTTAAAAGAGAAGTTCTTTCATGGTATGTCAAAAAGCAGAAAATGGTAATAGCTTTGTTTCAAACTTGAACAACTCCGAAGAACGCGACTCAACTTTAGTAAAGAAGAACAAACAAAACACCCGAGAGGTACAATATACATGAACATATTAGACAAGCCAATTTCACAGTTTATAAAACCCTGTTGATGTTGCACAAGGGTCACCGACTCACCAAGAACAGTTTATAAAACCCTGTTGATGTTGCACACGATTTCCATCATTTCACAGGAAATGGTGAAATAGCTCCAACAAAAAGGTTAGAGCTGGTTGGTAAAAATACAAGAGAAAACTCATATAGCGTCAAAATAAAAATTCAGGATAACGGCAGTGTCTCAAACCTGGTGACTTTCATGTCAGATCTAGATTTTAATCCGCATTCTGAACATCAGAATCCATGGAAAATTAACTTTCAGCTGCTGAGAGTTCATAGAAAGAAACACTGGCATTTAATTCAAAAACTTTGAAACCGCAAAGAACCATGACATGGAGATGCAAGGTACACACTTAGCAGAAAGAGCATCCCTGAAGATTCTCAGCAAATTATAAACTGAATAAAAAGAGCATCCACGAAGATTCTTGACAAATTATAAACTGAATAATGACCCATACCTTAATATCCACAATGTCAGCACCAGTATCCTTAATTCATTCATTCTCTAATTTCTTTAAATACCGTGGGGAATAAGGAAAAAGAATCCTATCTAAGTGTTTTTTTTTAAATAAATTTAGAATGATCATCTTTAAGTTGCAGACAAGAGCAACAAGAGCGAAAAGGTGCATTGCAAAAATATTTGAAACAAATATTAGTTAGCACAAGAAACAGAGAGAATGTCACATGCACAAGAGAGAATGTCACATGCACAAATAAACTTCAGCTACTTCAACTGGGACATTAAATTAAATTAAACATTCTCAAAACATTAGATTTTAAGAGAACCCTTTAGGGTCTTAAGTCTTCTATGAAGTCACACAATGTACAACAAGTACCGCTCACCTCTACACAACACAGGAGTAATAAACAGAAAAAAAGGCCGAAGGCTCTAAAAGTAAAGAGAATTTTGGACCTCACTGAGAAACTGAGTTACCAATGTGCCAACCAAGGATACCGATCCCAAGCTTAGATCTCTGAAGAACATGAAATGCACTTGCCACCATTATTTATCCTCATCAGCAAGCACAAATGCTCCAGCTGCCCATGATGAACAATGACACTAAAGCTTCACTAACAAGAAGACTGTAAATATAACGACACTGAGCCGATTCCCATACAACCTTGGGATAAAGCAAACCCTCTCTGAAAATCAGATTGACACAATATCTCAAGACCGTAACAATTGTTGACATGGATTAAGCTTACATTATTTGCCACCAGGAATGACATCTCGATCTGTCACCAGGAGCTGAGAGGACATACATAATGCTACCAATATCTTACTTACACATGTAGAAGTTGAAGGACACCATAAACGATACTATCCATCACTTCCAGTTACTCCCAAGAGACACCAATATTAGAACCCAAGAAGAAGTTTTTGGGATCTGTAGATGGAAGCCCGAAACCAATATCTACCATTAAGATTGCTGTCAATGACAACAGCAGCAGCTAATGCAAAAACGACAACAAAGTTTCTAAATTGAACTCTAACAAAACTACCAGAAAAATACCAATTTAACAAAGACCCAGGAACCAAATCAGCCATAAAAGAGAAAGATCAATGGAGTCAACAATTACCCAAATTCAATCATCCCCTGTTGGAAATAAAGTGAGAACTTTCCTTCCTCCATTCCCATTCACTGACTCCAAATCTTCCACGTAACCAGGAACTGTATTGGGCACTGGTGCCCCCATCCTATGCACAGGCTGCTGTGTTTGCCTAGGCAAAAATGGATGCTCAAACTGACCATTTGTCGGCGACCCAAAGTGCCCCATCTGCCTATGATACTGACTTGGCAATTGGGGATGTCCCACTGCAGCCATCTGCTGTTGGTGATGATGGTGTTGCAATGCAGCTACAGGCACAAACGGCAAGAAATGATCCGAATTAGGCCTCCCTGGATGCAAAAAATGCGCTGGGACGGGGGAACTTGCAAACAAATGATCCGTAGCAGCATCAGTGCCACCAGTGAGTCCACCTCCACCACCAGTACCACCACCACCACCACCAGAGGACAAACCCTGCATCCTTTTCAAATAAAGCCTATATTTTTGCAAATGACTTGCAACATTCTCTCTAGTCAACCCATCTACATTCATTAACTGCATTATTGTCTTAGGGACGGCATTCTTGATCCC